GAGAATGTCTCTTCGGTGAAGTGGCTTTGATCGTGCAGGATAAAGGTCGTAGGGTAGGCAAAGATCGTGAAGTTGAAAGATCGGGATGTGGGTTCAGGATGACTCCTATCCTATCAGGTTCGAGGTGACTTCCGAAATCGTGAGAATCGCAAAGATACTCAGGTCAAGCGGAGGGAAGGCGAGGCTGGGCGATGAGGCAGCGGACGGGCAGGAAGAAGGTGGATGATGGAAAAGAGGTAAAGAAGGTGGGAGGGAAGGAGCTGATGATTGACAAAGGTTGTATCTGGGAGGCGATTCGGATGCAGAAGCTCAAACCTTTCTTCCGAACAGTCCAAGCTGCGATGTATCGCGACGTGGTGTCAAGTCTGCAAGCAGAGCTTTGATGTTTCCTTGCGTGAGGTTCCTTGTCTCCTTGAAGCTTGTCGAGCTGTTAAGCAACGAAACGATGATGGCAACGCGCCGACCGTCAAGCCAGAGTAGTCGGACCTGGATAGCTTTTGGAGGCGACACGTGAGAGGGAAGCGAAACTGTGGGAGACCGATGCGCTGCGCCGTTGGAAAAACACAACCCACCGAAAGCTTTCGACAAACGAGGAGAGAGACGAAGAGGCGAGTCGGTGATTAAAAGAGATGGGGAGAGAAAACCGTGCAGGGCAAACAGATGGGTTGGAAGGGGGCTCCGGATGTCTCGAAGAGGTTTGAGAAACGGGATGGGAAGGCAAGATATTCTCACGCTTTCTCCTCAGAGCAAGCAGCGCAAGTGCCAGCGCGGCGCCAATGCTAGGAGCCCATCGGTGCCCGCCTGGGGGCAAGGGCCAGTACAGTGTCTGAATTCGATGCACGGCCTCCACATTGACGCAGCCAGTGCCTTTGCCTCATTTGCGGCCTGGCCTCGACAAGTCTCCACTCTGCACCAGAAAAAAAGAGGTATCCACACAGTGAGAGACGATACCTTTCCGGCAGATTAAGCAACATGGGGGAGAAGGTGGCCCCCGCTCCGGAGGTGCCTAACGTACCTTCCGCAGCGTGAGGTGCGCAACCAGCTGGTCCTTCTGGTACTCTTATGCTGTACGGATACCTGTGTGCCTTCCCACCTACGTGCCTATGCTGGGGATTGGATGTTTCATTGGGCAGATCCATGCAGCGAACCGCACAGTGTTTGCTATTCCGTGTGCATTTCCTCCGCACATCTCCCGCAGACTAATTGACCAAAGGAAAAAGGTGCGGGAGGGAAATGGAAGCTGCGCCTTGCGCCTTGCGACCGACCCTGCCTCCAACGCGGTGCTCTGCATTGTTTCCAATGCAAGGGGATGCTCCCATCGGCACCAACACACCTCCTGCACACCATACTCCGTACGGGGTATTACAGAGTACACAAAGCGAACCGGCACAACGTCACGACACGTCTCGCCAATGTGAGAGAGATAGGCATCGATTGCTTTTCAACAAGTTTCCTCGTCGCTGCCAATGTCATCGTTATGAGCAGCCACAGCCCTACCGACGACTAAAACAATTCCTTCTTTAATCCAGTCCACCGAGTCAGGAATCGCGATTGACAGCGCGCCAGACTGCTTGACAGCCAAGACAGAGCCATCATCTGTGCAAGTCGCGGACTGTCTGCGCCCCCGGAAATCTTGATAGCACCCGACACACAGTGACACCTCGTATGAAACAAGCAGAGACGATCTAGCGCCCGAAGTCGCCTTAATTATTCTGACAAGGATCGAATCAGACGCTCGACACCATTGGACGTGCCCATTGCCCCGACGGGCCGTGAGCTTAGGACGGATTGAAGACCTGCGCGTGCTACCGTTGCTTGAAGTGTTTCGTTTCCTCCGGGAAACCCTCTCGAGGTCGCGTGCGCCATTCTATCTGATATTTGCACCGTGTCGCCAAAATACCGGATTGTTTGGCCTGTATCAGGGACATACAACAACACACAGCAGCCTCTCACTTTGAGCGACCGCTTTCAGCACAACATGGACGAAACACCCCGTCCCGTCAGCGATAGGTACACCTTGAGCCTGGATCAGAGCTTGCGAGAACTCCAAGAGAAGATTGAGCAACACCGGGAAGAGCTTGCCGCAGTATGCATCCTAATTTATGCTCGTTGAGTTCTATAAGTTAATACGTGAACAGCTTCAACGAAATGCCAACTCAAGCCAGAATGTTCCTGGACCAGGAAAAGAACCTTATGAAGTCATGAGAGGCGCTTTCGAGCAAGTTGCCAGCACGCCTCCCTTCGTACCTTTCTCGGAATCCGTTCTACCCGCGCTACTTGCCCTGCGAACGACTCGTCAGACCGTTGTTGAGTCCCAAGACTATCTGACGAGTCAAGGAGCCACTTTCGATCAGACCAAACGCAGGCTCGAAGTTGAGCAGGCGAATTTGTCTGACCAGAAAACCCTCCAGCAGAGTTTGGAGAAGCGGGTTCTGTTTCTCAAAGACGAGGCCGAATCTAGGATGGATTTGACGCCCGAACAGGCAGCCAAGAAAAGACTGGACGAACTGAGGCAAAAGAAGAAGCGTTACGACAAGGAGACAACCAAGCTACTCAAAGCTTTGAGAAACTTCATTGACGGTCACCTGGGAGGTCAACTAGCTGCGGAAGACCTCGGCGGACCTGTCGTGGGCGACATGATGGAAATTGATTCGGATCAACTCGGTGCTGGTTTCAACGCCCAGGGCCGACCTGTCAAAGTCAAATCCAATGTGGACGAGGATAAACGACAACGACGCCTCGAGGAAGTTTGGGGTTTATCCCAAGGGGATGCCGGCCGCGGAAAAGGCAATACGGACGAGGCAGCGGCTGCTGGTCGCGAGATGCGCGATCTTACAGAACAGCTTCTGAATCAACATGCTGAAGCAGCTGGCGATAGCACTGCGGCGTACGTTAAGCTCTCAAAGGAAACAGCAGCGGCGCGATTCCTCGTCAGGTCCAAGGTCGCGCAGTTCCATCCTAGGGACGCGACTAGGCTCAAGCTCATTGATTTTGGAAGAGAGCTGGACGACTAGCAGGGCTTGATCTGCCGCACATCCGTGCGAGCGTGACTGCGACGCAGTCGGCGCAGATCCCCCGTGTGGAGATGGCCAACCAGGCAATCAAATGAAATTTTCACGATAGCATGTCTACCCTGGGCCTTGCAATGTCAGAGAAAAGCTCCTGTTGTTAAGCGTTGAGTCTCTTGACTCAGGGCACGCAGTTCTCATAGGCTCACTAGGGCCATTGCAGTGTACAAATGAGGCTCCGATGTTCACAGTGCGCGCTCGTTTTCGATAGTGCGTCACAGTGTATGCGATTAACTCTACACTTGCCTCCGGGTCTGGGTAAAACGGACAAAAAAAAAAAGTTGGTGTCCAGGTTGGCACCTTGGCGTACGAAGCATGCGTCTGAAGCATCTCCTTCCGCCCTCGTCAATGCAAGAAATCAGTATGGAGAATCGACAGACTTTTGAGATTTCGAGCCTTTCTTTCAGGAGGGGTTCACAAGGCAACTCTGAGGCTATCTGATTCTCCTGAGAGAGATCGTCGCAAGATGAATGAACTCTGCCATGCCATGAGGTAGCTTATGCCCTTGCATGCTACCTTAAGTCGGATGACGACCTCTTCATAGTACGGAGTACTTGATGTGTAAATGGGCAATTGGTATCTCTGGTTCTGATTGGTCAATTGCTCTGCCGCGTCCTGACGCGTCTCGCGCGACACCGCCAGAGTGCAGACGGTGGGAGAGTGTCCACTGACAACCCAGCAGTGGAAAACTCCAGCAGAGCAGGCACCTAGCTTGTCGATTCAAAGGAGTAGACTCTCGCTCAGCATTCGACTCCCCACTTTGCTCTAGCCCAGAATTCAAACGGCGAAAAGGTAAACTCTACTCTGTAGTCTTTGCATCCCCTAACGTTTCTCTCAACCCAAAATGACCTCTTCTGAACCCGTCGCCGCACAACAGCAGCAGTCCGATCCTCCCGCCAAGCGAGTCAAGACCTCCTCCAACGACGCCCCCGTCCCCGCCGCCATGGAGCCCTGCCCACCTCTTCAGATCAAGAAGCTCTCCGACAAGGCTCGCCTGCCGACCCGCGGCAGCTTGTTCGCCGCCGGCTACGACCTCTACGCAGCAAAGGTCACCACCATCCCGGCCCGCGGCAAGGCCATGGTCGATACCGACATTGCCATCTCTGTCCCCGCTGGCACCTGTATGTGTTGAGACCTCTCCTGTTGACAGCTAGCTCCTCAAGAGCTTCCCCCTTCTTGGCACTTGTAGTTATGGCGATGTACTGACCACACTTTCTCGTACACTATAGACGGCCGCGTTGCTCCCCGCTCTGGCCTCGCCTCCAAGAACTTCATCGACACCGGCGCCGGCGTCATCGACGCCGACTATCGCGGCCAGGTCAAGGTCCTCCTCTTCAACCACGCCGACACCGATTTTGAGGTCGCTGAGGGCGACCGCATCGCCCAGCTCATCATCGAGCGCATCTTCACTCCCGAGGTCGTTGAGGTCGCCGAGCTCGAGGAGAGCGTGCGTGGCGCTGGCGGGTTCGGCAGCACCGGCGTTTCTCTTGCGCAGTAGATACGGTAGCGTTTGGTAGGTTCGATAGGGAGGCCTCGCGCTATGGCTTACAAGACATTGAGCTCACGGGGATGAACCAACCGATGCCATCACATCACCATGGGAACGATACAAAAGTTATGGATTTCTTATAGAACTGGAAATGGACGAATAATGACAAATGCTACGACCACCACGATGTGCCTTTTTCTAGTCCTGATCCACAGGCCGTCTCTACATGCAGGTGACATTTATCTACCCAAGCACGCTTACTTTCAAATCTATGAACCAGCAAAGGAACACCACACAAAAGCGCCTTTCCAAAACCAAACACGCCTCTATAGGTCTTTCTCTCTCTCTTCCCCGTCGTAAAGATTTCGAACCACGCCCCCCCCCCCCCCCGTCCCCTCCAAACCCCTGACTCTCTGACCCCTATCGTCCAAGGGGAGCACCCTCTACAACCTTCTCGCTCTCAACTCCACAGTCGGCTCCCGCAAGCTCGCTAGGTTTCTCACGAGCTTCAGCTCGGCGCTCTTGCTCTTGAGCAGGTGAAGCTTCGTCCTCCCTTCCTCCGTCTCCGCCAAGGCGTCCCCGCCAGCGGCCGCGACGACCTCCTGCATCCCGCGCGCCGTCTGCGTGAGGACCTCGTGCATGCTCGCCAGCACCATCTCCGCCGCCTTGGCGAGGGGCAGGTCCAGCGCGTCGACCTCGTCGCCGCTGAGCCAGGATTCGCGGTCCTTGAGCTGCTGCTGTTCCTCGCTGTTGGCGCTGGCGGCGATGACGGCCTCGCGCATGCGCACCGTCATGAGGGCGGCAAACATGTCGCCCGTGCCGGAGAAGTAGGCGTCGATGGCGGGGAAGACAATCTTGAAGAGGCGCGGCTCGCCGGTGGAGGGCGACATGCTGGAGCCGACGACGGAGAGGTGGGAGGGCGGGTGGTCGGGCGAGGCGAGGGAGACGGAGGTGATTACGACGTGGGGGATGCGGTACTTTGTGTGCAGGGCGCGGATGGCGGTTTGGAGCGTCTGCATGTCGGTGATTTTGACGCCCGAGAGGAGCCTTGGTGTTTTCCCGTTCGTCAGTCTTTTTTGTCTTGTGGTCTCTGTTGTGCGTGTGAAAGAGGGGTTTGACGTTTCCTTCTTCATATGAGGGTTCTTTCACCGGGGGGGG